TAATCAATTTCCGCCCCTGCATACAAGGCTGCAACTCTTCTACGTACAAACTAACAGAAAGCAGGACAAACTGCCCAACCAATATCAATCCGTACGCAGTATATCCTACATCAGGTTTCTAAACAACGGCGATGACACTACCTTACAGCTATAACAACAACCGCACCATCATTCTTTTCCACGGTACCAACTTTATTTCGATCTCTTACTCTAATTTCTGTGTTAACTAGGGCTGGTATTGGATAAACCATTCTTGTATTTTGCTTCATTTGTACATATGTACTTTATTTAATTACTATATGAAAATACGATAGAACAATTGTTCTACGAATCTGGGCTTAGAAAAAAAAAAGCATGGGTGGCGAAGAAGCAAACTATACATACTAGTGTGAGTCTACCAGAATTGGGGCATTGACTATGCATGGTAACATGATGCTCATCGGGTGATTAAAGTGATTGACGGACACGGTATAATGCACCTTGGACGATTGGTGTCAAGGCCAATTCTCCAACACCTCAGGTTCCTAATTAATTAAGGAAGAGATGGGCAATGAGCCACTTTCATCAGTGTATGGACATGATTGAATTTAATGCGAACAAAGTTCAATGAGCTTGCAGTGTACCAGATAAAAACAGTAGCATGCTAATGGCGCCTTCCTCGCATGTGGAGAGTCCGGTGAGTCGTCAACTTTTTCAAGGAAGGGACACAAACCACACTTGTCAACTAAATCTGGCTCATCTTTGCCGATCAACTCGCACGATGTCTCAAGGTTGGCAACGATTTCTGATATGGTGGGCCGGTCCTTTACGGCAAACTTCAAGCAACATCATGCAATATGCGCCACATGCTTCAATGTGTGCAGCTACCCTGGTGTTGGCTCCGGTACAAGTCGCCTATCCAGCATCTCCTCAATATTAGCGGCCTCAATGATGGGGAGTGCAAAGGATGCCAGATCTCTATTCATCTCCTCCTCTGCTTGGGAAAACGCCCTTTTCCCTGTCAGAACCTCGAGCTTTAACAAACCCAGGCCATACACATTGCTCGGTGATTTCACATGACCTGTGTGGGCATACTCAGGGTCGATGTACCCCATTGTGCCTGCAAGGGGGACCTCCAACCCCAACTCCTCACTTGCTATACCCCAGGCCCACTCCTCACTCACCATGTCTGTGACGCCCCCGATACAATCGTACACTAATCATACATGCAAACGTGTACGATCAAGATCAGGGACTCACGGGAAGATATCACAACACAACTCTACAAATAAAATAAGTCATACAAGCATCATATTACAAGCCAGGGGCCTCGAAGGCTCGAATACAAGAGCTCCATCATAGACATGTCAGCGGAAGCAACAATATCTGAGTACAGACATAAGTTAAACAAGTTTGCCTTAAGAAGGCTAGCACAAACTGGGATACAGATCAAAAGAGGCGCAGGCCTCGTGCCTGGGATCCTTCTAAACTACTCCTGGTCGTCGTAAGCGGGCTGCACGTAGTAGTAGGCACCTCTCGAGTAGTAGTAATCGGGTAGAGAAAAGGGGGAAAAAGGGGTGCAAAGCAACCGTGAGTACTCATCCAAAGTACTCGCAAGCAAAGAGCTACACTACATATGTATGCATTGGTATCAAATGGAATAAGGGTATCATATGTGGACTGAACTGCAGAAAGCCGGAATAAGAGGGGGATAGCTAGTCCTATCGAAGACTACGCTTCTAGTAACCTCCATCTTGCAGTAGAAGAAGAGAGTAGATGGTAAGTTCACCAAGTAGCATCGCATAGCATAACCCTAACCGATGATCCTCCCCTCGTCGCCCTGTGAGAGAGCGACCACCGGTTGTATCTGACACTTGGAAGGGTGTGTTTTATTAAGTATCCGGTTCTAGTTATCATAAGGTCAATGTACAACTCTGGGTCGTCCTTTTACCGAGGGACACAGCTATTCGAATAGATCAACTTCCCTGCAGGGGTGCACCACATTTCCCAACACGCTCGATCCCATTTGGCCGGACACACTTTCCTGGGTCATGCCCGGTCTCGGAAGATCAACACGTCGCAACCCTACCTAGGCACAACAGAGAGTCAGCACGCCGGTCTAAATCCTATAGCGCAGGGGTCTGGGCCCATCGCCCATTGCACACCTGCACGTTGCGTGGGCGGCCGGAGAGCAGACCTAGCAACCTCCATTACAAAGGAAGTTGCGTTACGCGGTCCAACCCGGCACGCATCGCTCAGTCGCTGACGTCACGAAGGCTTCGGTTGATACCACGACGTTGAGTGCCCATAACTGTCCCCGCGTAGATGGTTAGTGCGTATGGGCCAGTAACCAGACTCAGATCAAATACTCAGATCTCGTTAAGCGTGTTATTTTGAAGTAACCGCGAACGCCGACCAGGGCCAGGCCCACCTCTCTCCTAGGTGGTCTCAACCTGCCCTGTCACTCCGCCTCAAAGTAACAGTCGGGGGCCGTCGGGAACTCAGGCCCACCACTACCTGGATGGAGCCACCTGCCCCTTCAGCCCCCATCTCCAAACAGTATCACCGGTAATGTAACAGTGTAAAGTATATAGTATATGCCCGTTATCACCTCTCGAAGTGATCACGGCCCAGTAGTGTAGCATGGCAGACGGACAAGAGTGTAGGGCCACTGATGGAACACTAGCATCCTATACTAAGCAGTAGGATAGCAGGTAAAGGTAACAACAGTAGTAGCAAGGACAGGCTATGCAGGAGTATAGGATTAACTGAAAGCAGTAACATGCTACACTAATCTAATGCAAGCAGTATAGAGAAGAATAGGCGATATCTTGTGATCAAGGGGGGGGGGGGTTGCCTGGTTGCTCTGGCAAGAGAGAGGGGTCATCTTCAATGTAGTCGAACACACGGACATTGGCAGTAGTCTCGGAGTCTACCGGAAAGAAGTAACGGAGGGGGAACATAATAAATAACAGAGCAATCAAAGCAACACAAAGCATAACATGGTGATACGCGGTGCTAGGGGTGACCTAACGCAGTAGGAGGTGATACCGGCGAAGGGGGAAACATCCGGGAAAGTATCCCCGGTGTTTTGCGTTTTCGGACTGGTGAACCGAAGGGGGAAAGTTGCGTGTCTTCTATGCTAGGGATGTGTGGCGGACTAACGGGCTGCGTATTCGGATTCGTCTCGTCGTTCGGAGCAAATTTCATGTACAAAGTATTTTCATCCGAGTTACGGTTTATTTTCTATAATTTATCAAAGTTTTATGCATTTTTAAAATTTATTTTATTATTTAAATCAAACATTATCCAGAACAGTGTAAGGTGATGTCAGCATGACATCACCATGACGTCAGCAGGTCAAACCCAGCTGACCAGAGTCAAAGTTGGACTGTGGGTCCAGTGGGACCCACCTGTCATAGACTAACATGTTAATCAGGGTCTAATTAAGTAGGATTAATTAAGTTTAATTAATTGATTAGGTTAATTAAACACAATTTATTATGTTAAATAATTTAGTTAATTAAATAATTAATAATTTTATTTATTATTATTTTTAAAAATCTTTTTTTATATCTTTTTTTCTAATGTTTTGGGGGGTGGGCCCCCTTTGTCATAGGCCCATAGGGGCCTTAACGGGCGCTGGTTCGGGTAGCGGGCGGGCGGACCCGCTCGAACGGGCACGGGCAATGGGGCATGCTAGGGCGCCAGCGCCGGTCGCGGGAGATGGCCGC